TCTTATTGGCCACTAACTTTACAAATCGTTTCACCATTAGTCACTGACCGTCAGTCTCCGTCAAATTCCGTTAACTCAGTCAATTTTTTGATGACATGACAAACAGAACTGCTGACCGGATGCATCACTTAGCGACTTCTATATCTGGGTTTGCTTCGAACGATGGGTAATCTGGCGCCTTGTAGATCTGTTGCTGCGTCGCCTCCTATTCAATCGGGATTTCCTCCTCCCCGACGCTCCCACCATCGTCCAACCGGAGGACCCCTACTGTGAGTGGAGGGGGAAAGCTGCGCGGTGGATTCGTCGTTGGAGCCCAATCCCTAATTTTTCCAAGCAAAGTCCCTAATTACAAGGCCATCGAAGAGGCAGAGAGAGAGCTACAAGGTACTGTTTTTTTTTTCTTCCTTTTCTTCTGTGTCCATCGAGTGGGGGAATTGGAGATGGGAGATGGCATTGTGAACTGAAGAAGAAAGAAAGAAAGCATGCTTGGCTTTGGCTGGTGGCTGGATTTGGTTGGTCTCGATCCTAAATTTGCATCGATTCCGACGAGGACTTGGGGACGCCAAGGAAGAAGACGGAGAGGATTGTGGACGCAGTGAAGACTGGTGCGGCTGCAACCTGGACAGAGTAGAACGGAGGCCGTCGTTCTGTTGGGAGCTGGGAGTCTGAAGAGGAACGAGAAGAGAAAGTGTGCGGCGGAATGAGGTGTAATATTTTTTAATTTTTAACTTTTTTAAAGTTGATATTTCATTAAGTTAACGGTCCAGTCAGCAGTTCTGTTTGCCACATCATTAAAAATTTGACAAATTTAATGGAGACTATTGGTCGATGACTGAATGATTCGTAAAGTTAGTGGTCAGTACGAAAGAAAGGTAATTCGGGTGGCAAACATGAAAGATTTATGTAATTTGAGTGACCAAACGTGTAATTCAGCCTAAAATTTATTAACTAAATGATATATGATACCAACAAAGTATAATATGAGATTAGCTAACAAAATAAATTATATGTATCATGATATACAAAATGAAGTACCAAATAAAAGTCTAAATTTTAGTAAACAAGCTAGCTCGAGCTCGACTCGACTCGTTAATAAGCGAGCTGAGCTCAAGATCAACTCGTTTATTAACGAGCTGAGCACAATATCGACTCGTTTATTAACGAGCCGAGCTCAAGATGGGCTAAAACTCGACTCGACTCGTCTCATTTGCAGCCCTACTTGTGGTCAATAACTATGCATAACCCAATCAGAATCCGTCAAATCAGTGTCCCTTCTCTCTTCTGAAAAAACCTATAATTTTCCTTCCTCAATCTTTAATAGACAATTTCTCACTCGTTTTAAGTCGAAATTAATTTTTTTGCACAGTTAAATCAGATTAATTGTACTCTTCAAAATGATATCCGCTTTGATATATTTTTGGGGAAAAAAATTGAGTCATTTTTTACCAGTCTATACTATATGGTATTGACTGGTATTGAAATAAGAGCATACCATATGGTATAAAAAAGCATACCATGGTGGTATGAACATACCAAGACTATAGGATGGTTGAATACATGATATTAGGGGCATACTAATTGTTATTTACGAATTTCAACATTGTGTACCACAAGATATCACCTCATACCAAGGTGGTATTATGTGGTATTGTGTAGTATTTTTTGGTCATGTATTTTGTTCAACCAGAAATTTGTAGATCCCATACATCATGATGAATTCGTTCCTTCTGTGCAAAAAATTTAAAAAATGACTTAAAAATGAAGAAAATACCATATGGTATGTAGTTGGTAACGAGAGACAATAAAAATTTTTCCTCCAAAAATATAGCAAATGGATCTCATTTTGTAGAGCACAAAGAACTCATTCCATCTGTGCAAAAAAAAAATTGAAATCCGAGTTAAAACAAAGAAGATATGAGTCGGTTAATAAAACAAGGGAAAATAAAAATGTCTTTAATCCTCCACCCTTAGACTGTCTCCAACCCAAGCATGCAAATTTGGAGAAAGGGAGGTTTTTGGCTTTTTTCATCTCCAACCCACCAATTATTTGGTTTGCAAATTTGGAGAAGTGGGCTTGGGGTGGATAGATAGAAGCTGATATGGAAAAATGCAAGGAGAAGGTGGGGTCCAACCATGGAACCCAAGCCCACACGCTGGGGCCGTCCACTTTCCAGCATCTTCTTTTTTTTTTTTTTTACTTTCTTAATTTTTGATTGGTTGGTTATGAGTTGGGAAGGCAAATTTAGAAGGTTTAGGGTTGGAGCAAAAAAGTGTTTTTGGAAGGTAAAAATGCACATTTGAGAGCTTGAGAGGCTAAATATAACCTTTTGGGTTGGAGTTAGTCTTATATCTGACTTTTCTAAATAAAGGGTTCATATTTAGTTACTAATGGGTACATAACCCCTATCTGAAACCATATATCCATGAATTAGGAAAAGTCAAGCGGGGTAATGTATATAATCAACTTGTAAAGATTTGTATTAACGAAAAAGGATGTATTTGTAAAATTGCAAGTAATTGTAAATTTCATTCTCTCAAGTCTCAACTGGGTTTAGTTAATACTCAACACTCAAACCATCTCATTTGGCTAGAAAGTATATCGAATCCGAGAATATTAGTATATCTAGATTTCTCAGTGAGTAAGATCTCGGTTGCAACTATATTAATTCGTAGATCTAAATTGTACTTGTCCTAAATTTGGATAGTTAATATTGTTGACGAACAAAAATATAAATTATAAAGCTATTTCTACACATCAATACACCTCAAATGCATTCACACAATTTCTCAAGGAGAATGGCATACGAAGTCAATTGACCTGCCTAAATATTCAAGCGCGACTCACATCATTTAGGTCATATGGTTAGGCTGAGTTATTAAATACTTTGTAGTGAGTGGACTTGGATAATAGTAGATGTGGAGAACTAAAGGATTTGCACAATTTTGAAAAGGAAAATCAATATGAAGGGAGGAGGAAAAGAGCTAAATCACATATAATTGCAATCATCAAACAATAAATCTTCTTATTTTATTTTTTCAAACTACAACCCGAAATATTTTTTCAAGAAATAATCCCAATCATTCGTAGTAAAACAGAATGCGTTAGGGTGGTAACTGGATTTCTAGTAGCCATCGTGGCTACATCATTATCCACCATTTATTTTCTTCTCTTTCTTCTTTTTTTAATCTTATCGTTAAGATTGCCTCAGAATAATTTTGGAAGGAAAAAAAAATCACACTTGATTTTTCTATATATTCCACCCTAACCCTACTTCTACAACCAAACCCGCCGTAGCCGCAAGGTCTCACCCTCCCCGACGATGGCTTAGGGTTTGCGAGAGGCTGAGGGCCACCGCCCTCTCTCACCTCCCTGTCCGCCAGCTTCATCCTCGGCGGCGACCTGGGTTTAGAGAGGAGATCGACGCCGCCGCCTTCCTTCGCCGCCAGCTCCGCTTCTTCATCCGTCGTTGCCTGCTTGTCCGACGACTCCTTTCGCGCCTCTTTCTCCGGCCACGGGCAAGCCACCAGTCAGATGGGTGGCGATCCCAGCATTGTCGCGCTCACCCTCGTCTCCGACAATGCAAATCGGCAGCCCGGTGCCGCCTCTTCCCTCAGCTCGACGTCGCGCCAGGCCTCCCCGCTGACTGTCATCATCTCCTCTGCGCTCATCGGATCCTCTTGCAGCATAGATAACAGCGCAACCTCCACCATCTGTTCCATCATCGTCGTCGCCCCGACTGGACCCGTCGTCCCGTGCGCGCCTAGGGCTGCAGTGCAGAATTCCAGCATCTTTAAGGATTGGTATGTTTTTTTTTAAATGGTAATGATTTTTTTCAGAAGTGATTTTTTTTAAATGGTAGTGATTTTTTCTGTAGTGGTAGTGTTTTAGTCGTATTGGTATTGTCTTTTTCGCATTGGTATTATTTTTGTCGCATTGGTATTAATTTTGTCGCATTGGTATTGATTTTGTCACATTAGTAGTGATTAAATCTGCAATGGTATTGGTGTTTTGTGAAATTGTAGTGTTTTTATTTCTCGAATGGTATTGATGTTTTGTACAATGGTAGTATTTTTTTTTATGGATTGGTATTGATTTATTGTTTTGTTGTTGCAGCGGTATTGGTTTGCCTGAACGAAATCAAGGAAAGATTAAGAAAAAGAAGGAAGAGAGATCTGGCTGTAAATTGTGGAAGTGAGAGAAAGAGAGAAAAATTGCATTTAATATATTTATGTAATCTCCTAAAATGTAATTTATTTAAAAGATCATTAATAAATTTTTTGTTATACCCAATTTGCCCTTAGTAATCACCTTAACTTGCCCCGCAATAAAACCTGTCATTTCATGGCCATAAATAACAATACACTAACAAATTTAGCATTAGTTTCTCTTTTCCAACACATTAATTCTACCTGTTAAGGGAAGCAGTATTAGTGTAGTTCTACATTGGCGAGCACTTCTACTATGCTATATAGTATTGGTGCTTTAATGTACAACTTAAAATTGTACCATAACATTAAATGTATAAGTTTAGGTTGTACCATAAAGCAATTTGTACCCTTATGTTATGGTACAACTTTACAACTTGAAGTTGGACCATCACATAAAGGTACAAGTTCAAGTTGTACCATAAAAGAATTTGTACAAAAAGTATAGGTACAATATGAAGTTGTACCATAACGTAAATGTACAATTTTAAGTTGTACCATAAAGACAAAAACCTATTGCACCAATACTATATAGCATTGTAAAATTTCTCCTACATTGGCAGGCCGCCAATGCACAGTTTCTAACCAATATTATCGTATCTGCCAAAGGAGATTTGCCCCGCAATGTCCACACTATAGCTTGCAGGTTCGATAGCAAAGCAACGGAATAGAATATCCCATTCCGCATTTTGCACCATTAGCTTCTCGTATTAGTTCCAAGGTGAATAGCTTTTGTCAACAAAGCATAAGATGGGACATCGAGACTAAATTTTGAGATCCATCGACCACTATATCTAAAATATTACTCTTTACTCATTGCCTTTTCAGCATACAAAACTAGTCACTGGCTCAAGGCTTTGTTCGCTACTATGCGTCCGTCACCTTCCAAACCCCATCATCAAGGTCGCTTCCGTGCAACCATGACTAATCCAACTCCGTCTCAGTCTTCGTGGCAATCGAAACATGACGTCTTCATAAGCTTCCGCGGTGTGGATGTGCGCAACACTTTTGTAGACCATCTGTGCGCCACACTCCGCAGAAAACGAATCAAGTCGTTTAGGGACAGCGACGTGGAAGACCTGGGCCGAGGTGGAAACGTGGAGGAACGCATACTACGAGCCATCAGGGGCTCGAGCTCCTACGTCGTCGTTTTGACAAGGAACTGTTGATCATCCGTTTGGTGTTCGGACGAGCTGGTCAAGAAGATGCATTGTGGAAGGAGGAAAACTGCAACTTAGTAGTTAAGATCTGCTGTATCCGTAACTATTGCCCCAACCAAGAGATGTGATGTATCTTACCATTTTGTGCATCCCAGATTCAGTTCAGGGTTTAATTTACAACAGTTTGGGAATATTACACCTCACCCCCGCCAACCAAAAACCCCCCATTTCATCTCAAAAGTTAACGAGTTACGAATTATTATATGCTTCTTATTGTTGGATTTTTGGGTGTGGATTATTTTCTAGAGCAAATTCTGTTTCACTAATTTAATCGGATAACCAACCAATGAACGACTCATCTGACTGTCTAGCTACAGCTTCGAGGTCGGAGTCTGATGGTCGGAAGCAGAAAGCTCGTCGTACATGTCAGTTATGGCTTTGGCAAAACAGTCCTTCGCCTGAGGCCTCTTAATCTGCCCAACAAAACAAAACAGAAATCAGCAGCGAGATAGCCACGCACGGAAAAGATCGTTTCGAGCAACTCTGCTATATACCTTGAAGGTTGGAGTTAGTAGCCCGTTCTCCAGGGTAAATGGCTCAGGAACAAGAGTTATAGCCTTGGCAAACTCGAAACCTCTCAACTGCAGGATTTCGCAGCGTCAGAAACGAGTGATTATGAGCTCCAACTTGTAAGGGACATGGTTTGAGATTGAGATTGAAAAACATTATATATTTCACCTGTGCTTCCCTTCCTATTGAATCCATGTCAGCAAGGACTGCCGCTCTAGCTCTTGGATCCTTGCATAGTTGGCCTAAATCGTCAGCCTGCATTGTGAGGACAAGGATAAGGATGATCGGCTAGAGAGAGAGTTGGAACAAGATAGTTGAGAAGCAAACCTTGATCCCTTGGGAAGTTGCCCATTCTGTCAACACATCTGGGTCTACCGATACTATGGCGACCAAGGATGAGTTGAAGCTATCACCTGTCCATGTATCAAGCAAACAATCAGACATAAGAGAAGATGGTGAACACAGAGAAGCATGTTAAGTGTGTGGTATATCACAGCTATCTTTTTTACCATAGATAAAACATTGGCCAACGAATCTGCTTTTGGTGTAAACATTCTCGATCTTCTCTGGAGCTATGTATTCGCCCTGTGCGAGCTTGAAGATGTTCTTTTTCCTGAAAAAAGAAACAAAATAGATGATGAAGTTACATAGACCAGGCTAAATAAACGAAAATTGTTTCCTGATAGTGGAAGATAAATAACCAACCTATCAATAATCTTGAGGCGGCCTCCGTCTAGCCATAGTCCAATATCTCCTGTATGTAACCATCCATCCTCGTCTATTACTTCTCTTCTGTGAAATTAAGGACACGTTAGATAGCTAAGGCATAGGGTGGGAATGATTTACTGAGATGGTGTGAAAGATATATATATATATGAAGATTGAGTACGTCTGGGTTTGATCTTTGTAGTAGCCCTGGAAGATGGTTGGACCCCTAGCACATATTTCGCCGCGAGGATAAGGCTGGTCTTGTGAGGTGTAATTCATTTCAGGAACATCCACCAGTTTTACTTCTGAAAGATGAGAAAGCAACATGCAAAAGGAATCATAAGTAACAGGAAAAACCAGGGCCGGAAGCGGAAACTAACACGAAATTCTAATGATTGTTACCTACTTATGTTATGCATCTGACTTGTGACTATGACGTTGCTAACTCTAGGTCATCAAAACTGATTCTAGATCAGTCTGAACCGCTCTTTATATCGTCTTTTCTATATTTCAAATATACCCATTTCTTTCTTACACTTTCATCTACCCTAAAAATGGCAACAAAGTATGGTATCACGTAACCATTTCACAATTACTCACTTATTGACCGAACGAAAAAGTCAATTCACTTATTTTAATAACTTTTTCAAACATTCCAATTGCCCTATTTGCTCATGCTCCCAACTTCTCCGATAGGATTTTTATTGATTGAATCAATGGGCTCCATCAGTAAGTTCCATATATCCAGTGTTTTCCAAATAAAGAATGACGCAAAATAAACCAGGACAGTCTCATCATGGGAGCTTTCAGCATTTCAAATTCGAAGAATGAGACTAATTATGCAGTTCGCAAACACCCACAAGCAGAAAGGGACACAAAATTGATTGACAAAACAAAAGCTCACTAACCACAAGCAGGATTTGGAGATCCAACGTGACCAGATAGATAGTCACCCTCATCCATAATGCTTATGATACAAGACGTCTCAGTCATTCCATATCCCTCAAGCACTTGACATCCAAAGCACCTGTAAACCAGAGGATATGTAATACACTCTAATGTGAGCAGAAGAACTACGAATAGACAGAGTGATAAAAAGTGTTCTTCAGAACAACTGAACAAAGACTTACACCCTCAGGAAGTCCATAACATCAGGAGACAGGGGTGAAGCGCCTGATCCCATAAGCCGAACCCGCCCTCCTAGCTTAGCCTTTATTTTATTGAAAACCAATCTATCCCACATTGGTGATGGAGTCCGACCTGGAGTAATCATATAATAGGATAACATATTAACAAATAACCACACTTCCAAAACTTGTAGAATCCCCAAGCAACAAGAAAATAAACTAAAATAAAAATTGGTTATCTTAAGATAACCCTTCATATTCATGAACCACTCAGGAATAGCTAATATACAAACCACTCATTAATGCTTGCTTCTTTGAGTTGAAGGCAGCATTAAAAAGTTTCTCCTTTAACGCTCCAGAAGTCTTCACAGCAGCTGTGATCCTGTAACAATCAATGTGATAAAAAAATCCAGGAAAAACTCCAATCAAATGAGATTGAAAGCTTGGTCACAATCTTACCCATCATATATCCGGTTATACAACCGAGGGACACTGCAGAATATTGTAGGTCTTAAAGCAGCCAAATCATCCATCAACTTCAAACTGTCCTGAAACAGTAAGGAAGCCATAGCAAAGCAGTACATTTATTGACAGAGCTCAAATAAACTTGGACTGTTATGAACTGTTTTACTGGTCTATGTTCATTAAGTCATCTTTTATTTTATGTATACAATAAAACAACTATTTGCTGGAGACAACTAGGTCTGGGAATTCAAGTCTGCCTAGACTCTAAGGCCTGTGAACTGGATCTGCATCGTGAGGTTCACACTACTTCAAGGAAACGATGGTTGGGACAGGATTCTGAAAAACTGATTCCACGTCCAGTCCTCCGCTGTAGCTCACATATTTAAGACAGAAATACTGGTAATTATTCCAGAGTGAATTGAATCACTAACCCCCTGATAGAAGCCAACAGCAACACCATAGTACACGGCTGATATTTGGTTGGTTCGTTCATAGATGTGTGCCAAAGGAAGGTAAGATATGTAACTGCAAGGATATTTGCATCATGTATTAGCAGATGATTCAGAAAAGCTCTCTACAAGATAACATATAGACATGAAGCGACAAAAATGAAGTCAGCAACTCACATATCTGAAGAATTGAATTTGATAGACAAACTGGAACCAGCAACACTTGCGATCAAGTTTCCATGTGTCAAGACAACTCCCTTTAGCAAGAAATAAAGTTAACTTGGTAAGTAGAGATGACTGGTGACTTGAGGAAAACCGCCATAACAAGCACATGTAATTACCTTCGGCGTCCCAGTTGTACCGCTGGTGTAACATATGGTTGCGACATCTTCAGGTCTAGGAGGAATAAAAGGTTGTAGGCTGCTGCGGCCCTAGAAACACAAAATGCATGGTGATCAGCCAATGTGGCTGCTCCTTTCATAATCTAGGCAGGGAATGTTTCCAAAACTTCCAGCTAAATAAGTAATACACAAATATCTTTTATGTTTTGCATCATTCATGGAATCTCCATTTCACCAAATATGCAAAATACCACAGGCCAAAATAAGTATCATTAGGACTCTAGAAGCTATTGCATAAAGAAAGGTGGGAGGGAAACAGAGTGACAGGCAAGCCTATCAATCTCTCAGAACTCGGAAAATATATAAACATCATTAGAAGAAAGATTACCTCACCAATCAATTTCAGATAAGATATGAGCTTGACTCCAGAAGAAGGCAGCGATGGTAAGTTCTCATCTACACCCCCAACAACCTATCATGAAGAATAATGTCAAAACTGACAAGGGATCAACAGAATGAACACAGATGATATCAGAACACATTAATTGAAGATATCCCATAAATACATACCACTATGAGCCTCACTGATGGAATCTCTGAGACAAATGTCAACAGCTGCAAGAATCAGGAGAGACAATAAGACAGTTAAACAATCCAGTACAAACATTACTTACGAAAAGCTTAAGAAGAAGGCAAAAGGTAGCTCACAGTGTTCAAGGTCGCAGGGTTGCAAAAGATGGCTTGCACATCAGCATGATTCACCACAAACTTAACTGCATCTGGACCTGCATGCAGAATTTGCTGCTGTAATTACAGAGTAGACCAAATGTAGCAAGTTGTGTTCATTGTCTAAGGTCACTCACATACCAAGAGTATCATATAAGGGAACCGAGATGTATGAATATGCTGCACAAGCATGATCCACGATCAGCCATTCTGGTCTGTTTACGAAATAAGTTCCAATACAAGCTCCCTGTTCCACATTGATGAGTCAATATCTAACGTTTCGCTCATAGAAAAACTTGAATTAAATTCTCACCCAACCAGAGCTAAGAGGAAACACACAAAGCAAAGCATAAGAACAGAGAGTATGACAGTCCATAATCCAGCTCATAACTGACCTTGTCCAAGCCATTATAACGAAGGCCAGAACCTATCGCTTCCCTGGCAGTAGCAGCTTCTCCATATGTCATCCACATGTAGCTATCATTTCAATTTTCAAGGAACAAATGATATCGTGCCTCTCATCGGAATGATTTCCAAGTACATATTAGTCAAAGAAAAAAAAGGAAATTTCAACTAACAAGATAGACAAACTTATTGTACGAAAGACCTACTCTCCAATTTTTCCATCCTGCCGAATTCGCGTCCCCAAATACTTGTAATCTCGATAATTCTCAACAGCATGTCTGAAGCATTACACAAAAAGAAATTATCATTCACAGCTCAACAGTTTCGATTTTCGAATTCTCAAACTCGTAGCAACTCATCTTCTAAGAAGTCAACTAGCCAGTAACTTAGAAATTGGAGAGACTCACTGAAAGTTATCGTGCAATGTCCCAATCTCTGGATGATCAGGAAACCTGCTCATAAGCTTCAACGGAGACCGCACGGATCTAGGACAACGGAAAAACAAAAATCAAAGAATCGCACAATTCAGAGCAAACTAAAGTTGTAGCTACAAAATTTCGCACACGAGTTCTACGCTTTGCCAATTACCTGTAAACATTCCACTTCCCAGTCTGCAATTTCTCCGGCAGACTTACGCTGTACGTATGACCTGCTCGACAAAAATTCAACCACCGCGGCCAAACAAAAAGGAAAAAAAACAATTACGCGATTGCAGGGGGCAAAAAACTCCGCGGAAGCAGAGGAAGCAGAAAAAAAAAAGACATTGGAAAAACTGCTATCGATTACTACTCTTAACAGCTTCTCAACATTCAAGCAAAAAAACGAAGTAGCGAACAATTTCCGGCCAGGACTTAACTGTTCACGAACTGCAACGAGGCGGTGAAGTTAGGTTCCAAACGAAGCGACCGATCGTCTCCGCCGTGGAGCAAGTGGCTCTGAACGGTCTCGAGGCGGCGTTGAGCTGAGGACTCTTCCATGGAAGTATACTCTTTGTTTGTTTTCTTCTTTGCTTCTGCTTGGGAACGGATTGCGGAGGAACGGGAGGGAGGGAGGGAAGTCAAAAATGGATTAGTTTGGCAGTTGGTGGCTTGGTGGTGGGATTGTAGTATTATTTTGAATATAATTGAGGGAGTGGGATCTGTGAAGACTGAACTGAAGAGGAAAATAAAATTATTTAAAAAAAAAGGGGTGGAAAATGAATGAGAGTTAGATGAGATGTGAAGGAGGCACGCTTTCCCGTGTGCATGATTTGCCGCGAATATGACGTGGGTTGTTTTAAAGATAAGGGACCCGGATACCGGCTTCGGCTTGGCCTGGACAGCATGGTTTAAGAAACTCTATTGTACTGGTTAGTTCGACTGAAAATACCGAATACTGAAGACTAAATAGTAGGCGGATTTAGTGTTACAAAATGGTTGAACCATGAACTTACTATGATTTAGTACTAAATGTTCTATCATTAATTTTTTCGGTGTAACTTTCCATACACTCTCGTAAACATTCGCTGAGCACTAGTGCATCCATTAATAAAGGTCAAATAGGGACAAAGAAAGAAAATAGAGTTAGGGAAGTTTATGAAAATATACCCGGATGAGATGACTTGCGTTTGGAGAATAGATAAGAAAATTCACTGTACCTTTCCTGTTTTATAATAGCATTTTGTATTTGTGTTGGTATTTATATTAGCGATAGTTTGGTAATAGTTTAGTTGAAATCGTTTCAATGTTGCATTGTCAAAAAACTTAAACGAATTTTCCAACTCATTCTTAGATCTCTAATTCTTTGGTTGGCTCTCAGTCTTTGTGTTTTATAGCTTGCTTGTTCTGATTTGACTAGTTATATTTATGGGTAGTTGTTTATCTATTTTAATCATTAACCTGTTTTGTTTCTTGTTTAAGTTAGTGCCCTGTTTGTATTCGCCTTAATAACCTTGTAGACTCTCTCGCGTCTACACCATCACTTCATTATTATTTTGCAACATGACGGGACTCTTCCTCAATGGTATGAAAAATGTGACAAGGAGGCGCGGGTTTTCAGATTCATTGTAAGAAAAGAAACTTTTGCAATTACTTAAGAAGACTGATCATATAGTCCTGGAGTGTCCTACCTTGAGCCGGTGCCGCAAACTCCGTACTCCACCAGCAGGTTATTCATCCTCCACTTCAACATATGCAGTGGCGGGGAATGGGGGGTCTTCTAAGAGTCCCTCGTCGACTCTAGGTAACGTTGTGGCTGGTTCTTCCGCGCCTCCATTATTCTCTCCGGAATTGATTCGCAAACTGGTGCACGATGCTCTTCATGAAGCCTTGACTTCCGCCCTCACTTATGCATTCTTGACCGGGGCTGCCTCAGGTAAATCTATTCGTTGGCTCCTCGATTCAGCTGCTTTCAATCATATGACGCCTGCTAGTTCATCGTTTACACATATGCATTCCCCTCCGAATATTCAGCTTCAAGTTGCAAATGGGGCATGCCTGCCTGTGCGGGGTCGTGGTACCTCGTCTTCCGGATCGGTTACTCTGCCTGATACTCTTTTTGTTCCCTCGTTAAAGCCTAGCTTGGTATCGGTTGGCCAGCTTGCTGAGGCTGGTTGTGAGGTGACGTTTAATTACAGAGGTCGTATTGTGCAGGATCGGGCGACGGGGAAGGTGCTGGGGGACAGGAAGTAAATGTTGCAAGGCCTTCGTCCTTGATGAACTGCAAGCATCAAAGGACAAGCAAGCTGATCGAGGAGGCGTTCAATCCTTGGTGGCTGCTGCTGTTCGTGTTCAAGGGGGCAAGGATGAGCTTGTTGCCAAGGCAGCTGCGGTGGCCTCTTCGCAGCATGATAGGTTTTTGGATGATAGGAGTCGAAATTTTGAGACTATGGATTTATTTGAGGAGGAGGTGAATCCTCCTGCTAGTTTGTCGAATGGTTGTTTTGGATTTTCAATTTGTCAGTTGAATTTTGGTGTTAAAACATCACTTTGGGATTTATGGCATTGTCATTTGGGACATCCTCACTCTGCTAGGTTGATGTCTATGTTTTGTCAGAACATGTTGCCAGATAAATATGATTCCGCTTTTGTCGAGCATTCTCCTTGTGTTAGCTGTATTGAGGCTAAGACATTCCAGATATCATTCTCACCTAGTACTACAGTCTATGAGCATCTGTTTTATCTTGTTCACACAAATTTATGGGGGCCCTCACCAGTAACTTCTCGGTTGGGTTTTCGCTACTTTGCATTGTTTATTGATCATTCCACTCGCTTTACCTGGGTTTATTTCTTACGTCAAAAGTCTGAGTTAGTGACTTTTGCTAAGGAATTTGTCCAAATGATCAAAACTCAGTTTGCAAAGACAGTTAAAGTTCTTCATTCTGATCTGGGTGGAGAATTTACATCTTAAGAATTACTTGCGTTCTACAAGGATGAAGGAATTCTGCCTCAGGAATCCTGCCCTGGTGTGTCTCAGCATAATGGGGTTGTCGAACGCAAGAAGAGGCATGTTCTTGAGCTTACCCAGGCATTGTTGTTTCACTCTGGTATTCCTAATCGGTTTTGGGCAGAAGCGATTCAGACTGTGGTGTACTTGATCAACTGTTAGATTACTCCTCTGTTAGATCAGCGGTCTCCATATCAGCTCTTGTATGGTAAATCACCGGACTATGCTGCGTTACGGGTGTTTAGCTGTGTTTGTTTTGTCTTGTTTCCTCGCAAAGAGCGCCATAAACTGGCACCGAAGACTGCTCGTTGTGTTTTTGTGAGATATAGTTTGAAACACAAGGGTTATTTGTGTTATGATCCAGTGGACCGCTGTATGCGAATTTCTTGTCATTTGATTTTTCTCGAGCAAGTTATGTACTTCTCTGTGAACCGGGATGAATTGCCTGCTAAATAATCGTTGGACTTTCTTGTGTCGTTGCCTTCCTTTGGATCTGACGTTCCTCATGCACCCCATGCACCTACGTCGGGTGCATCTTCCTCCACGTCGGCCTCTTCATCATCCTTACATTCCTCGTCTGACTCAAGCTCCCCTTCCACGCCAGGTTCATCGTCTTCTTCACACAACAGTTCGGACTCTTCTTCCAGCTCTAGTGGACCGAGTAGCTCCGCTTCAAGCAGCGCGCATTCGCTGACTCCGAGCCCTGCGGTCGTTCCTCTCTGACATTCAAATCGCGCGACTTTAGGACAACACCACTTCGTATGCAGGATTATGTGGGATTCTCCACTACTCCTATTGTTATTCCATCAAGTTATGCTGAGGCTAAGGGAGATCCGCGGTGGAATGGAGCGATGACAGCTGAAGTTGATGCATTAGAAGCAAATCGTACGTGGGATCTCGTTCTGAGGACACCGGAGATGTCAGTCATTGGCAGTCGTTGGGTATATAATGTGAAGATGCTCTCGGATTGTACTCTTGGACGGTTCAAAGCAAGGGTGGTGAATCAGGGTTTTCGGCAGGAATATTGATAGACCGTTATTTACACATGTTTTTACCCCCATTCTTACACCGTTTGAGGTGTTGATTCTCGTGTTTTAGGCCGATTTCACGGTAGGTTGTGCTTGTTTGTGATATTTCAGGTCCTAGGACGTGAATGAAGGCTTAGGAGCGAGTCTGGGGTCGATTGGACGAGGATCGGACGCATGGCGAGGTTCTGAGGAAGTCGCATGGGCACACCCACAACCCGCACGGCCGTGCAAGTGACCAGTTTGGCCGTGCGGGATTGTGCGTGGGCACGCACGGGATTGTGCGTGGCCACGCACGGCCGTGCAAGTGACCATTTTGGCCGTGCGGGATTGTGCGTGGGCACGCACGGGCACAAGTGAAATCCGCACGGCCGTGCAACATACAATTCTGGCCGTGCGAGTTGGCTGAGGTTCAACTAATTGATACGCCGCGTTTTGAGGTGCACGGCCAGAATGGTGATGTGCACGGCCGTGCACCCTGGCCGTGCAAGTCGGGAATGGCTGTTTTTAACCCAAATTCGAGCCAAAGGAGAGGGAGAGCTGGGTTTTGGATCCCAAACACCCAAGGGACGAACCAAAGAGAGAGAGGGCGATTTGAGGGCATTCTTGGAGTGGAGTTGGAGGATTTCTTTGCCTTGGAAGCTCGAGGAACAAGCCCGGACTTGAAGACTGATCATCTGAAGATTCTTACTGCAGTCTCTCTCTTCTCTATGGAGTAACTTCCCTTCACTTAGGTTTTGAGGAACCCTAGCTATGTTTGTTTGATTGGATGATTGTATGAGTACTCTGACTTGATAATCTTGAGTTCATATTCAATCTATGCATGTTTTCATGATTCAATTCTGCTTTAGTCGAGATTATTGATTCTGCTTTGATTCTATGAGAGGGAATACCTGATTAGGTCAATAGAGCACCATAGATTGATATTAGTGGATCGATTGCTTTAGTCGAGGGTTGATTCACTGCTTTGTATCGATTGAGAACCTCTTTCGATAGAGGGAGTCTAGTTCAGAACGCCTTGATCAGTTGTTCTAGAGAAGGATACGTCCCTCTAGGCAATTGACTCAAGAGGGCCTTGTTCCTTTAGTCGAGACTCAAGGTCTAGTCAAGGATTCTCCGCATTGTGAATGAAAGTGAAACAGGTTAGAGATCATCAATCATTAATCTGGCTAGTGGCTAGGGGGAATCATACCTAAGTGAGTTCCCAACCTGTAATTAGATTAACTTTAACTGTAGTTTGCTAGAGTAGTTTTAGTTCTTTCATCTTAATCTGATTTGCTAAATAATAAACTGAAGCTGAGTAATAGTAACTCTAGAGACCCGTGGATTCGATATTTATCACTTGAGCCACTATACTGCAGTCCCTTTCATTGGTTACACTTGGCCTTTGTTAGGAGTTGTGTTTTTGGAGTGTCAAGTTTTTGGCGCCGTTGCCGGGGACTTTCTAGAGTATTAGGAAAGGCAGAAGTTTGTTACTTTAGCGTTTTTCTTTTCTTTTTCCACCCTTGCTTTTCACTTGGGTGTTTTTGTTTTTGTTGGTGCAGATCTGAATCATGGATCCTAATGGCTTCTCCAATCATTGGGGGTATCCACCACCATCTGGGTGGTATTACCCCGAGACTCCCTGGAGCAATCAAGGCGGAGAAGACTATGGATTCGGGTTCCAGTACCAACCCCCCTACTACGGAGAACAACCGGACCCATGGGCATATCAAGAACAACCTCATTATCAAGAAGAATTTCTCCCACAACCAGAAGGGCCATCGGCGCTGGAGTTACTCATGGAGCAGTTTGCTCGAGACTGTGAGAGAACATGCTCCAGGATGGATCAGTGTGTCCAGGCCTATCGTGAAACAGATGAGATCCTCCTGAGCCTTAAGAAGAGCGTCGATGATCTTGAGCGATCTTGGGCGCAACCTGCTCCAGATCACCCTTCTGCTACCATAAAAGAAGAGGAGGAGGAAGAAGAAGGCTACAAGGGCATTGTGGAACACACTGAAGTTGTCACGGAGAGCTCCCGTGATGATCATGATCAGGCGTGTCATGTCGTAGCCGACCACACCTTCCCACACCCCAAACTGAGCTTTGAAGAGGCGGGCATGAGTGAGGAGATGCAAGAAGATCTCATGAAAGAAATTGCTTGGCAACTTGCTCTCCAATCCGTGCTAGAAGAAGAAGAAGAGCAAGAAAGGGTGCAGAAAGA